ATAAATTGTCTTAGAGCAAACATTTTTCGTAGTTTCATTCAGACTTGTGTTCTCGTTGCATTTGTGGATGGAAGTTTCTTTTGTATGCTCAAAGTTTCACACAAAGAAAATGTGCAATCACGCAGTTATTTTGCATAATTATATTGCAATAATTAAATTTGAATTTAGATATGGATGGGAAGTGTAGTGTGGTGATTAGGATTTAATGTAAAGCATTTATCATTTAACCGGGAAATTTTATTATAAGCTATTTCAGGATTTTATACTTTGTTCAGGTTTAACTGTGCCTATTAAGAATAATCTCATTGTCACTAGTAATTAATTATCGCTTAGTTTTTTGCCTTAGCAAGATTTATTTTCTATCTCTTCTAGTATTCATACGGATTGATAGGATCACACAGATTGATGAGAAATAGTCAAGTTGTTAGAAAACTGATTAGTCTTGTAAGAAATTGAATATGATGGAAAACATTTTTCTACATTTTTTTATTGTCATCAGTATCATTATTACGATAAGATGCTGATTATAATTGTAGCAATACTATAATTACTAAGAAACATTAGCTTGTTCACTTTGTTGTTTTTTAATGAAAATTAATCATTAATTTAATTGAAATTTACAATAGTAAATGATAAATATGTGATTTGATGAATCTAATTTAAAAAAATAATCATTTTTAATGAAGAAAAGCAAGTCTTGCATATATTTGGTTATTTGATAAGGATTGCAAGATACTGTATCTAAGAATGGAGTCAGGTCAGGATTGTTTGTCCTTAGCAAGCAGTATAGAATTAAAAGTTAGTTTGATTTCGAAATTAATTAAAAGAGTTGGAAAAGCTGAAAAATTGTTTTCCTGTCAAAATTAACTTTTCGATAATTATATTCATAAAATATAACCTGAAATTCGACTAATTTTCTAAAATCACTGGAAAAATTTTTTAAATTTAGGATGCACTTGTTGATACGAAATGGTTCCAACCAGGTGAAACGCATTCAAGCAAACCAACTGGTGATAAGTGGAGCAAACGTATAAAAGAAGCAGAAGCCATAACTCTGGAAGATTATGTAGTTTCACGTCTCCCATTTTACGCACGTTGGTATGAAGCATATAAAGTTCGTTCTTTAAATCAAAGACTTGTAAGTTTTATTTCACTTATTTGCATTTATATCAAACATAATGATATTTCTTTTATTTGAAAAATTCTTCAATCATAATATCTGGCATCTAACAAAATAATACATATTTCCGGTCATCGGTCAAACCTAAAAAATAAACTTATCTAATCTTCGGACAACTCACTCTTAATAATTAAAATTAGCAGATAGTAAATGATTTCATTTCGGAATATAATTTTAACAGAGGAAGTTTTTATAAAAAGGCATCTAAGCCATCTTGATGAAGAAATATACAGGGCAGGGCAGAAATCAAAAATGCTGTATTCACTTAAAAAAACGTATAAAGCAGCAATATTATTCCCAGGATAGCATTAAATTTAATTGCGGATATGATTTTAGTAAAATAGCATTTAATTATTATTTACATACCTTTTCACTTCCTAATTGTACTCCACTATTTGTATATTCAGAACCGAGTTAAGCTTTCAGGTAGTTGCAAGATTTTCTTATGAATGCATTTTACCATTCAAAAACAGAAAAAAACTCAATATTTTAAAAAATCTGACAGCTTTAAGTTTTTAGCTGTAATTTATCAAAAAGACTGAATTATTTTTGTAACACGTTTTTTTAATTACTCTAATTAATTTAGGAAAAATTCGAATTAGATGAAATAGAATCATTTGTAAAACAAAAACTGCATAAAATTACGGATGTTATCGCTGATCAAGGAAGAAAACTGCGATTATTTTCATCGATAGCCATAAAACCTAATAATGTGGAGATCACGTATAGATCAAGTGAACTAAAGCGTAAATATGGGTAAAGAAGTAATTTATTTCTTAGCTTTTTCAGCAATCAAAATTAGTTGCAACAGTGAAAAATTATGTCATTTAAAAGATTAGAATCTTTCACAACAGTCGAATTTACAATTTTCAAACCTGCTATAATAAGTTAATAAAATGGTCGTAAATCTAGGTAACTGCGTAAGTGTAATGCTTTGAAGTTTACTTTATTGACAATTTTATCATAGAGCCACGTTAATCTGCTGGCTAGACGATGTCGCAGCGGGATTGGACCAACCATCATCAGAAATTATTGAAAAACTCTTACACGGTTTTACACAGTTTAAGGCGGTACTGAATTTTAACAGTTAAAACTTGAAAATAATCATTAAATAAATATAGCTTCAAGAAATAATTGTTGTTAGTATTTATATTTACTGTATTTGACTTATGAGTAGCATTTAAGTACTCTTTAAGTGAAACATTTGTGATCACATTTTATCACTTTTATCTGCAAGTAATTTTTTTGAAAATTATTTATAAAAAAACTAAAAAATTTTATCACTTTTATCCAAGCCAAATACAGCAAATGATAATTACAGTAACTGATATAAAACTGTATACGACATGGATACTGATTTCTCATTTCCATAATTTGATTATTGAATATTTTTAATTTGATTCTTGAAATTGAGCTAAAAAGGGTCAGACCAAGTCAAGTAACAATATAAATACTTCCAAAATAAACTTTTTGACACTCAAAAAATTAAAGTTTATAAATGTACAGGTAGATCCACTGGCAAACTGGACAAAGCAAGGAAATGAATTCTATTGTCGAATGCTTGGAAGAATAAATACTTTCGCTTCTGAGATGGCTACTATGGTCAATTATTCCTTTATCATTGAACCTGGAACTATTACTCCTCATCTTTCGGTAAGACTAAGTCTAAAGTCATTCAAGTTACAACGAAATTTAAATTTTCAGCAAAAAAAACCGCTTGGAATAATAAAAAATTAAATTTTTAAATTATGACAAATTTTGCATCAGCTAACTGCCATTTAAATTGTGATTTTATATAGTAAAACAGCATTTAAATAAGTTATCAATTTTTTGGCCAGATTGGATTTAAAAATTTTAAGTTTCATTCTTTTTTAAATTTAAATTTAGGATTATGTAGCAGAATTCCGACATTTGGAAACATTTTTTGAGCGAAATCCACTGACACCAGAAGAAAGTAATCAGAGCGCTTTTAATCGTAATTGTAACAAAGTTAGAAATAAATGTTAGTGCTACTCATTTATGTTTTAAAATACAATTAACGCAATAAAATTATTGATGATAAGTATTTAATTACAGTTTAAAATTCAGTATCTAGTAGCTATTAGAAGTGATTATTACTACATTTATTTATAAATTTATACAGTAACAGAATGTGCGGATATCAGTCGTGTCATATTACAATGTGACAAATCAAGAGATTCATCGTTTTCTGAAAAGTTTGTGACTGGAAGTTCATCATGCTTTCTTAATGCAGAAGATTCTATACATGAAAATAGGTATTTGAAAATTTTTATCTCTAAAATGACCCATTCAGATTTCAAATGAAATTTATTTTGTTATTTTAATTTAAAGAAAAAAAATCAGTGAACCGTTTAAAAAACTTTGGTAAAATAAAAGAATCAATTTAAGCAGTTTTTAAACAAAAAATTTATCTGAAAGCTTTTTGTGTATTTCATATTAACTTTGAAGGACTCTCAGTTGGGTAAAAAACTTCAACACTAATAAAATAAAGTCAAAAAAATTGTATGTGATCTGGCTTTGTATGCTTTATAGCAACGATTTTATACACGCATCTTACGTACGTGGTGGCCCATTGCTTAATACATTTATCTTGACGCAAGCGCCTCTTCTTTCAACTATTGCTGATTTCTGGCAAATGGTTTGGCAAGAGCGTTCTCATTATATTGTAATGCTATGCAAAGCTGTAGATGTCAGTACGTTAGGTTTGCTAGATGGAGCACTTCCAAACGTTTGTCCATATTACTGGCCGAGGTAAATTTCTTATACAGTATTTTTTTAACTTTATCAAATTTC